CTCGCCCCCCTGTCCCCAGGCTCCCCCGCACTGCCCTGGAGCCCCGCGTCCCCCCCCCGGCTGGAGGAGCCCTGGAGCTGCCCACGGGGCCGGCGCCAGTCAGGTACGTTCAGTGCCGGGCGCAGGGGTGTTGCACATGCGTGTGCCCAGGGGAAGCGGGAGCAAGCATGAGCATGCAGACATGCTTGTGCAAAGAGATTGGGAGTGAATGCTGGTGCGAGGGCACAAGCATGTGGGCATGCTTATGCAAAGAGACCAGGAGGGAGCTGTGGTGAGAGGACACAGGTGTGTGAACAGCCTTGTGCAAAGAGATTGGGAAGGAGATCTAGCACAAAGGCACTAGTGTGTGAACACCATCGTGCAAAGATACTGGGAGTGAGCTCTGGTGTGAGGGCACTAGCATGTGAATACCCTCATAACAGGCCCAGATAACAGCTGTGAGCCCTAGTGCAAGGGTACTCGCGTGTGAACGTCCTCGTGCAAAGCTGCTGAGAGCGAGCTTGAGTGGCTGCCCTTGTGCAAAGATCCTGGGAGAGAGCCCTGGTGTGAGGGTACAAGTGTCTTACTGCCCTCACACCTGTGCGAATCCAAGCCTTAGAGCACTAGCATGTGCAAGCCACGGGTGGTGGCACCAGGCCTTGTGTGAGCCTACTAGCATGTGATCAGTTGTGCCCAGGGCTGGCACCCGCACTGAGGCTTCCCTCAGAGGAGCCCCCTCCTCGCGCCTGGGAGTCTGAGACCCCCACCCCTGGGCACCCGCGTGCGCTCCCTCCCTCCGCGGGCCAAGTCACGCGAGCCCTCGTGCAAGCACCATGCCTCCTTGCAGAGCCTCCGCCGCTCATGTGCAGCCCCGAGCGCGCTCGCCGCAGCTGCTCCAGCTTGGACCCCGGCACTCACGGCCGCCACGGGCGCCGCCAGTCTGGTGAGTTCACGAGGGCCGTGGATGGCGGGGGGGGGTGCGTGGGGCCGGGTGAGGGGGGGGGGGGGGAAGGAACCCGGGCGTCCCGGGAGAATGGGGCAGGATGCCTGGGTCCCCGGCCTTGCACGCGCCCAGGCCTCAGCTTCCCCCACGGGTTGCCCCGCTGCCCCTAACAAGCTGGAACCTCTTAACGAGCTGGGACTGATGTATCGCCTCTCGGCCCCCAGAGCCGGCTACGGAGAGGAGCCCCCCGGGGCCGGAGCCCAGCGGTGAGTGCCCCCCTCCTCCCGAGTGCTGCCCCCAGCCCCTTGTTGCACCCTTCAGGGTCCTGGCTGGGGGGTCTGGGGTCATGTGGGGCCCGCTGCCCCTAACAAGCTGGAACCTCTTAACGAGCTGGGACTGATGTATCGCCTCTCGGCCCCCAGAGCCGGCTACGGAGAGGAGCCCCCCGGGGCCGGAGCCCAGCGGTGAGTGCCCCCCTCCTCCCGAGTGCTGCCCCCAGCCCCTTGTTGCACCCTTCAGGGTCCTGGCTGGGGGGTCTGGGGTCATGTGGGGGGGCAGGATCAGGCTGGG